TGAATGTGATAGCAGGTATTGTAATATTATTTAGAATATCTATTTATGTTCTAAATTTTACATTCTTCGACGCTAGGTCTAACACTATTATTACGGAAACAGGTATCCTATCATTATCTGATGTACCTGCTTACGTACTTTTTGACTCTGGGGCTACAAATTCATTTATCTCTGCATCCTTCGTCATTAGGTCTAACTTTGCATGTGTGAAAACGAATAATGAATTAGAGGTTAGCATCCCTTCAGGAAGAACTCTTTGCACTAATCAGATGACTAAGGCTATGAAATTAGAGATTGATGGGAAAATACTACAGGTAGACTTATACATTTTGGAGATGAACGATTTTGACGTTATTTTAGGAATGGACTGGTTGGGACTCAACCATGCAACCATTCTATGTCGCGAAAGAAAAGTATTATTTCATAGGCCGGGAGAGGAAGAGTTCCATTTCTTTGGAGCAAAGTTCAAATCTCTACCTCGTCTTGTATCGGCAATACAAGCGGAGAAGATGTTGAGAAAGGAGTCATGTCAGGGATTCTTAGTTAATATCAACGGTTCCAAACATGCCGAGACAACCATTAAAGATATTAACATTGTGCGAGATTTTGTAGACGTATTTCCAGAAGACCTACTCGGCATTCCACAAGATAGGCAGGTGAAATTTACTATTGACTTAGTTCCCGGTGCTGCACCAGTGTCTAAGGCTCCGTACAGAATGGCACCGAAAGAATTCCAAGAGTTGAAGTTACAATTGGAGGAGTTACTGGAAAAAGGATTCATTCGACCAAGTGTATCTCCTTGGGGCGCTCCAGTACTTTTTGTGAAGAAGAAGGATGGGAGTATGAGGATGTGCATTGACTATCGAGAATTGAATCATTTAACTATCAAAAATAGTTACCCCCTACCAAGAATAGAAGATTTATTCGACCAGTTAAGGGGCGCAACGGTGTTTTCGAAGATCGACTTGAGGTCGGGGTTTCATCAACTGAAGATCAAGGCAAATGATATATCAAAAACTGCTTTTAGAACCCGTTATGGGCACTACGAGTTTACTGTCATGCCTTTTGGTTTGACCAATGCTCCGGCGGTGTTTATGGACCTAATGAACCGAGTGTTTCATCAGTATTTGGACCAGTTCGTCATAGTATTTATTGACGATATACTTGTGTACTCCAAAGATAGGAAGCAGCATGAGGAACAACTTAGAATAGTACTTGATACTTTCAGGAAGGAGAAATTATATGCCAAACTCAAGAAGTGCGAATTTTGGCTCGATTGCATAGGTTTTCTTGGTCATGTGGTTACCGCCCAAGGAATTGAAGAAGACCCAGTTAAAGTGGAAGCAGTAATTAATTGGCCTAGCCCGTCAAGTGCAAGTGAAGTTCACAGTTTCTTAGGATTGGCCGGCTATTATCGGAGATTTATAGAAGATTTCTCAAAAATAGCAGGTTCGATGACTTAGTTGACTCGAAAGGGTGTGAAGTTCCAGTGGACGGAAAAATGTGAGAAGTGTTTTCAAGAACTTAAACAGAGACTAGTCTCAGCTCCTATTTTGACTATATCTGAAGGTTCGGATGGGTTTGTAATTTATAGCGATGCCTCCAAACAAGGCTTGGGTTGTGTTTTGATGCAACATGGAAAGGTGACTGCTTATGCCTCGAGACAGTTGAAACAGTACGAGCAGAACTATCCGACGCATGACCTAGAACTAGCAGCGGTGGTTCATGCCCTAAAGATATGGCGTCATTATCTCTACGGTGGGAAATGTGAAATCTATATAGACCACAAGAGTCTCAAATACTTCTTCACACAGAAGGAACTAAATATGAGACTGAGGAGATGGTTGGAATTAGTGAAAGATTATGACTGTACAATCCATTACCATCCAGGTAAGGCTAATGTAGTTGCAGATGCCCTAAGCAGGAGGACAGGATCACAATTAGCAGTTTTACCCACGGTGCAGGAACACTTGATACAAGACTTTGAAAAGCTGAGGTTGGAAGTTTCCACTCCGTCAACTAGGACTACAGCGAGAATAAGGGCGTTTATGATTCGACCTACTCTTCAGGATCGAATCAAGGAAGCACAGGATAAGGATTCATTTTTACAGAAGATAAAAACTGAGGTTGGTACAAACAAACATATAGGATTTGAGGTATCTGTAGATAACACGTTAACTTTTAAAGGAAGGTTGTGTGTACCTAAAGATGAAAGTATAAGAAATGAGATATTGAAAGAGGCTCATTCTACCCCGTATGCTGCGCATCCAGGCAGTACAAAAATGTATCGAGATCTCCGAGATACATTTTGGTGGAGAAACATGAAGAGAGAAATTGGACTATTCGTGGAGAAATGTATTATCTGTCAGCAAGTCAAGGCAGAACACCAAAGGCCATCAGGATTATTGAACCCGTTGGATATACCAGAATGGAAATGGGAACATATAGCGATGGATTTTGTGGTAGGCTTTCCGAGATCAGCAAGAGGACACAATGCTATTTGGGTAGTAGTTGATCGTTTGACAAAATCAACCCATTTTCTGCCTATCAAAGTAAATTTTAGTATGGAACAGCTCGCGCAGTTATATATCAGAGAGATAGTCAGACTGCATGGAGTTCCTGTCACCATTGTTTCAGATAGAGATCCGAGGTTCACATCAAAATTTTGGAAAAGTTTGCAGACAGCCATGGGGACGAAATTGAAGTTTAGCACTGCTTATCATCCACAGACGGATGGACAATCCGAAAGAACCATTCAAACTCTTGAAGATATGTTGAGGGCATGTGTTTTGGACCTTCGCGGTAGTTGGGAGACACACCTACCGTTAGTGGAGTTTGCTTACAATAATAGTTTTCAAGCCACTATAGGCATGGCCCCATACGAAGCACTTTATGGTAGAAAGTGCAGGTCCCCTATCCATTGGGATGAGGTTGGGGAAAATAGAATTTTAGGTCCTGAAATCATTGAACAAACAGTTGAGGCTGTTGATAAGATTAGAGCAAGAATAAAGGCAGCGCAAGATCGACAGAAAAGTTATGCTGACGTTAGAAGAAAATATTTAGAATTCCAAGTGGGTGATAAAGTTTTTCTAAAAGTAGCACCAATGAAAGGTGTGCTGAGGTTCGGAAAGAAAGGGAAGTTGAGACCACGATTCATTGGACCTTTTGAAATTCTCGAAAGGATTGGCAGTGTGGCTTACCGACTTGCCTTACCACCTGAATTGACAACAGTGCATAACGTGTTTCATATTTCGATGCTGAGAAAATATGTCCATGATCCTAATCACGTGGTGAATTACCAAACTTTAGAGGTACAAAAGGACCTGTCTTACGAAGAAACCCCAATGACGATTTTAGACAGGAAAGTGCATCAACTCAGGAATAGAGAAGTTCCACTGGTCAAGGTGCTATGGCGTAATTATGGACTGGATGAGTCAACATGGGAGAAGGAAGATGAGCTTAAAGTCAAATATCCAGAACTCTTCAATTAGTTAAGGTAAATTTTCGAGGACGAAAAATTTTAAGTAGGGGAGATTGTAAAGCCCTGAAAAATTTTATAGAATAGAATTAATTGTTTTAAATTCTCATTTCTTTGAGTCAAATAATTAGATTTAATGGAGCAAGTTTTAGTATATCAATATTAGACTCTTTTTGTAACTTGTAATTAATTAGAAATTTTTAACCAAAAAAAAAAAAGGTTAATCAAAATAGTTAGGCCCAAAAATATAGAGTTCAAAGAATGTCCTTTACTATAAAATTAACTAAGTTGACCTTTTTGGAATTCATTAGTTGTCAAACACGTGTGCCTTTATAAAATTGAATGATTGAGTAACTTTAGGCCATTTTACAGCAATTGAGTGTCCATATATTGTGATAGAAGAATTTTAGGTGGCTCACGTGAATATTTACATGGAATGATTATTCTATACCTTAAATAAGAACATTAAGTCGGAATTAATAGAGGGATGATAATTTTTTTTTACCGGACAAAATACA